CGGTTTATAAACGACGCGTAAATCGATCGGGCACCGATGACGCGGCAGAATCTTGTTCGATATGCAAACGCCGATTGGTCGAAAGCTGGGACGCGCGAACCAAGGACAAAGCGCGAGGAACGAGGAACGTTGTCGCTTACTTGCCAACCGTTTCGATGCGCGGATGAGCCGAGCGGACCGTCCACGACACCGTACCCGACTCCACTGGACAAAGCGGTTCTTCCCGGGACGATGGACGGTTCGTTGTTGCTTGTCAATTTGCTCCCCCGACTCCTCACCATTGCCGATCCAGATTCCATCGAGCACTGCGAACACGAGCAGCGCGATCGAGCAAATTCAATGTCACGATTATCGCTGCGCGTTGCCGCGATCTCGAGATCGTTTCTCGCTCGGCGCCCGCTCGCGTCCCACGGGCGGACGCTTCCGCGGAAAGGTGAGCGCGCAACTTTATATCTTTAGATAGGAATTACAGTATCCCGAGCCGAACTATTTCGCTGGCACGATTCATTTAGTAGGTTTCCGCCAACGGGATTCGCTGTTCCAGCGCCGGTAGGTATTCGTGATTCGAGACTCATGCCCGTTGATGCTCGTGCGAACCTAGCTTCCCGTAACCGACGCGTAGACTCGTCGTTCCGCGCTGGGCCCGCGTGCTTATTTTGGCGACGTTACATTTGCCCGAGAGGCTTGTCGTCCTCGTCTTTGGCGTTAAGCCAATATTTTGAATTCTCTGATGCACGAGAATCCATCGATTATGCCACGCTCCGCTCCTGCCGTTTATCGATCTTTCAAACTCGTTGCTGGTTCCGAGTTCGCAGGATCGTAAACACGATTGCCGCGTGGAAGTCTGTTGGAACGATGCCTTTTCATATTTTACGCGTCAATTAGGCGATATCTAAACGACGCCCCGCGCGGCCCGATCCTTCGTTTGCAACGGAAACGATTAATTCGCCGTTAGCGACGTCTCGCGTACGAGAAATTGGGAGAACGCCTTCGACGGCAGTTGAGCGGTGATGAATATCTCTGGGAAATTCGACCCGTATCGGACTGTTGAACCGGTCGCGAGCGTTTCAATGGCAAGGCGAAGTTTCGGACGTTTCAAGAAACCTGTCGCTGTTTGCGCATTTCCAATGTTCAACGATTGGCGGGAAGCTAAACGTTTCCTAAGCCAAGGAAAATAAATATGCGATAAATAAACGCGTACGCGCGGCGTGCGTGGGAAATACAAAAGGTCGCAAACTAGAGAAACATTTGCCACGAGTATCTGGGTCGTATGTTAATAATTCATATGTACCGCGGTATTGAAGTTTTCTGCGAATTCCAAATACGTCGCGGATGAACGTCTAGAAACGAGAAGACATTACGACTCGAGGATATCCTAAATTGTTTTAGTTACAGCGTAACGAGTTCATCGTAGAGAACGATCGAGATTCTCGAGTTTTTCCGACTAGCAGCACAGTTATCGCGGATCGCTGTTTTTAAGAAAATTTCATAGCCGAAATACGAGCTGTTTGGAAGGTATGTTCGAACGTAAACACGCGTTTGATCGGCTTCTCTTTAAATATTGATCGAACGAGAGTTGAATTCAAAGATAATATTTGCAAATTCCTCCTCGGCATAACGTACTGGCGAATGAATGATTTACTGTTCGCAAGTGAGACGAAAAAATGATTCGTTACGCGATCCGGTAAGAAACGGATTTAAAGGAGGGGAAGATCATCGGTTAGTCGTGGTTCGCGCGACTCCACTATAAATTCCGAGAACAACGAGCCGTTTGCAATTATCGCGTCGCACAGCCGTGTAACGTTCGTAAGGGTATTATTAAGAGGCGTGTTACGAATCGTACTTTCCAAATACAACGTGCGATTAATGAAAATTCATAAGAGAACCCGACGAACCAGTGAAGGTTATCGGGGCGAGTAGCACGCACGCGACTTCATCAGGAATGTTAATCGTGTCTCGTTGATAATCACGTGTGACGCCGTGTCATTGACACATTTCAAAGGCGATAATAACCTCGGGAACAGATTCTTTCGAACCTTTTTACACGGTTCTCGGCGTTCGGCTTTCGCCTAGAGTGGATCGGTTCTCGTTTCCACGTCGAGCAGTTCTTTCGTACGCGTACTGACCGGGTTCGGTTTAATTTTAAACAAGGTCGACGTCGGATAGCTACGATTCGTAAGTTTCTCGCCTAATATCGTCGTCGTATAAGTTTCGTGACCCTTCGATTCCCTTTACCGAGCTGATGTTCTCCTGTTAAATAATATAGACCGACAAAATTGACGCGTATACCTGTTTTCATTCCATCGGGACACCGATAACACAAGCTTTCGCAGATAGTTAACGATTGGAAACTCGAGCGTACCGATCTCGTAACGACACTATTCCTTCAAACTTTGTTCAGGGTACGGTCACACATTTTTTGAGAAATATTCACTGTCTAGAAGCTGATCGTGATTCGGTATGTTCCAGCTGCGTATAGAAAATAAGTGAAACAGTGATATCCAAAACATTGCTAATTCCATCGAGCGATTGTTCGGCGTGATGGGCTCGACTAAGGGTTGATTGGATACTGGGCCGAAGTTTAATTCGCACCCTCGCTCGGAAAGCATCACGAGGGCCGCGTACAGCACGCTCTACTCTCGGCGCAGTCGCGAATTTCAGCCAGGTGATACTCTTCGGGATTTGTTTAATGGGAAACGACGGGGCACTTTTCTTTTGCGAATATTCAACGGAAATCCTGCGAGACGCCCGAGGAAACATTCTCGATTCGAAACGATTTCCATACGCCTTTTGTGTTTAAGACGTCGAGGAATGATCGGGTTCGAAGTTGATGCGTACTCGTGATCTTCTCCCTCGGTATCGTTTCAATCTATTTTCGTTCGGTAACAGACCGATGCTAACCGCGAGGTGAGACGCGCGCACGTGCTTCGAAGTTTCGCTGATTCAAGATCAATTAGAAAATCCGAACCTACTAAAAATAGAGTTTTAAATGCTCCGCGTTGCCCGTTTATTCGTTCCTCGTAAAGAAGCCTGTCCGCGCCGCGTAAATTTCATTTCGTTACGATTCGTTATCAACCGAAAAACCAATGACTCCGTCGGGAGCAGACCGTTCGTTGTCATTCGCGGCGTAAGAGTGTTCGCATTTGTACGATACGGTCTCATGCGGATCAGCGTCAATGTTGAAAAGAATTAATGTTACGACGCCAGCACGAAAAACAACCGGGGCTACGGGTCTTTTTATGGATCCATGTCGTAAGCGCACCTAACGAGTCAAGAATGTTTTACTCTTCTTCTTCCTCTTCTTTCTTTCGCTCGTTCTCCTGCTCTTATTCTTAATCTTCTTCTTCTTCTTCTTCTTCTTTTTATCGATGCACAATCGTAGAATTACTAGCGTACTCAGCGATATAGTTGATCTATCATCGGCGAACTGGTTCCAGCTCTTCGAGGAAGAAGAAGTAATTTCCTTTGCACGATGGGGACAGGGTGGAGAGGCAATGGTAATTAGACGTGATTCAAAGTGTAATGCTATATTTCTGATAACATACAGAGTTTACATCGAGGATGAGCTATTTAATGCAACGCTGACACGATAGCGCGCATAAACGTTCCTCGCGCTGGCAGCCCTTTAATTATGAAAAAAATAGCGATATCGTGGCAATGCTGATCGAGTGAAAAATACAATAAACGTGAGGTGATTCCCACCATGTTCTAGGTACGATACTTATTTGGCAACAATCAACAACAATTGGGATCAAAGGTCATGCGTGGTAGCAGCGCTCGCGCGCGTGCGCGTTCGCGCCTATCTCAATGTCGAACATTTCGAATTACTTTAAATTTCCTATCCGTCCAAGCGATGCATCATTTACAATCGTTGATCCCAGTATTACGTAAGAACATTAACGCGGTTCTTGCGTTCCCCTCGATACACCTTGAGACGCGTCGCTGATCTACATACCTCGTAGACAGACCGATTTGCATTCGCCGGCGATAAGTCGCGACGCGATCGCCGGGTTCGCGACCCGAGGCAGTCCAGATCTTAAAAATGAGCGTCGAACGCGCAACGGACCGTGTAACGACGGAACCATTTGGAACAAGGTATTTTTTTTATTTTGCAAAAATATTCGATAAACCGCGGGTATTCGTCAAGTCCCACGTCGAACCACCGATTCATTATCTGAGGAGTGTTGCTCGCGACCTGGCGGTGACGACGGAGCTAACGTGAAACGATCGCTCGTAATGGAATATGTGATAGAAATACCTGTAAGCTCGAACTCACGGCTTACGCGTGTCTACGGGTAGAAAGTATTACTCGGAAGTATCGGGCAACTCTAAACATCGTAGAAGATAGGAGGAGAAAGTCCGAATGCGGTTTACCGAAGAATTTTGCCTGAGAAACTTCAAGAAAAGCATCGTCGGTCTTATGTAAGTGTTTAGGGAGCATCGATAACAAACAGACTCGTTCGTCCCGGTCTTCTCGACCGTTCGGTCTGTTCTCGTCCAAGCGAGATTTATTGAACCCACGAAGCAGGTACCCAGAGCGGTTCCGATTCTACTCGATGAACCGCGTTCACCAGTTGCTCGAACGCCATAGAGAGATCCGCGTTCACTATCACTTCGTCGAACAGATGGGAGTACAGAAATTCTATCCTGGCCGCGCTGTGCAGGATTTCTTGAAACTCCTCGTCCTGGGGACAAGCGAAACGAACGAATGAACCCGCCGTTTCGGACCCGAACGACCCGGCGACGGTTCTTACCGTGAATCCCCGAGAGTTGCTCTCGTCGAAGGTCGATCTGGCTCTTGCGTCGTTCCTCGTTTCTTTCAATATTTCGAACCTCGGCGGTTTCACGTATATCACGTACGGTTTCGTTTGCGGCGTACGCAGCATCTTGAGAGCTTGATAGTGCGGGTTCAGGAGGCACACGTAACCGGCGTTTATCAAGGAGCTCACGCTCTCGGAACTGGTACCGTACAGATTGCCCTTGTACTCGCCGTACTCTATAAACTTGCCAGCGTCGATTTCCTCCTCCATGTTTTCACGGCTCACGAAATGGTACTCTTTACCGTTGATCTCGCCCGGTCTCGGTGGTCTCGAGGTATCTGAAGAGAAACGTGTAAACGTCATCCAGAGATATCGCCGGGTATTATCGTGGGAAGAGTGCGTTCGAAGGAGCCGAGCGTGAAACGCGTGGATCGAGTCGGCGAACGCGGGGCAGGTGGAACGGGACGGGGGCCACGGGAGACGAAAACTTACAAGGCACGGGCGTCTTGTACTTATCGGGATCGGCGGCCATGAGTCGCCTCTTGAGCTCGTTCCTGCCAACTCCCGGTGGCCCGATCAGAACCACCGGCCGGTAGAGACCTGGTCTCGGGTAGAGCTTCGCGACCTCTTCGTAGGTCGGTATTTCTTCCCGGTCGAAATCGTCGTTCTCTGCAGCGTCATACATGATTTTTTTAGTTTTTACTCCCTGCAAGTTGCACTTTGTGGGCGAGGCGTGCAAAGAGGTACTGGGACGGGGGCACAATGAAGGCAAAGGCACTGGAACAGAACACAAGCCTAACCGACGGTTAGGTCGTCAGGCCAACATCCGTTAAGAACAGCAGCCTTGACCAGCTCTCATACGA